TACGATTGGCCTAAACAATACAATACTTCTCTGATCAACGTTACACACACACACACGCACACACACACACACACACACACACGTCTGATAACCTCATTATTATGTCACCATTCATCTGACATACATCGTTCTTGAAGTCATGGAGGGAGGGGGTATCCTGGCTTCCTTCATTGACACGCAGCCTTCAAAGACTTCATGTTATCCACCTTAAAATACCCTCGTCCTTGAATCATATCCTCTCTCTCTCTCTCTCTCTCTCTCTCTCTCTCTCTCTCTCTCTCTCTCTCTCTCCCCTCATCATTCATTCATTCTCCTCCTCCTATCGTTCGGTTTTTTCGTTATCCTGCCATCGATTTACACTCTATATTAATTAGACCTACAAGAATCGGAAAAGGTACAAAGGCGTTTGTTTTTCCCCAGTTCTTGAAAAATTGGGTGGGTGAGTGGGGGCGTCAGTATCTGTAGGTCTTTAACAGCAGCGTAACTCAAGAATGAATTAAGTGTTCATATCAGGTATAAATCACTGTATTTCAATATAATAGGTTGTTATCTTTCGTCATAAGAGTTACTCAGTCGTCTACTAGAGAGGACACGCCCATATCCTCAGCTGTATATAAACACCTAACTACAGATGAGGATGTGAAGACGATCGAGCGCAGTGCCAGTGATTCTCACCTTCTTGTATACCGGTGCCGTAGGTTAGGTATATAATATTTACACAATAGACTCTAATTCACTTTTTGTTTTCTGTTTACTCCATGTAGGTTTTTTCTAACTACAGTAATCCTATAGATAAATTTAGGCCTATACTGTATATAGTTTTTCTGCCTTATACAATTTAGCTTTACACCTTAACAAACATCTTATCTTGTCATAATCCTTCGTCATGTAATTTCATAAACACAAATTTATATAGATAGTTTTTACGAATGTTTATATACGTCTGTTAATGTTTTTTTCTAAGTTGTATTTTCTATTTTTATATAATTTCACTTCAATCTCTTTTCAAAAATAAAGAATAAATGAAAAATAATTCTAAATAATATGTTAATTTTCTGGGTATTTTAGTTGAATATTTCGCTCCTGTGTGTGTTGAGTAAGTAACTTCAAACTAAAAAGAATTACATTTCAAACTCACTTTTTTCATAGTATTTTTAATTCACTTTCCCCCTCTCTCTCTGTCCTCTCTCTTTTCTCTCTCTGTCTTTTCTTGCTTTCTTTCTTTCTTTCTCTCTCATTACTTCTCTCTATATTTCTCTCTCTCTCTCTCTCTCTCTCATTCTTTATCTTTGTTCTCTCTCCCCCCTCTCTGCTATTTGCTCCTCTCTCTCTCTCTCTCTCTCTCTCTCTCTCTCTCATATACCACAACACCCCCCGTCCCTTGGCCCATCACGAAAACTCCCAAAAGACGATAACAAAATATATACACTGCCGTTCTTTCATTTATTTATTTATTTTTATTTTTTTTACCCTCAGATTCACCGATATTTTAAAACATTGGTAGACTTTGTATTTGTGTCCATAAGTTTCAAGAAAAAAAATAAATACGATAGAGTTTCAAGTAGTTTTTATGTTGTATTAGTTGGTTGTTATTGTGTAGTTGTTGTTGTGGTTATTTGCGGTTGTTGTTGTTGTGGTTGGGATAATTTTTTTTAAGTTTGGGAATTTAAAGTGTTATCTATCTATCCTATCTATCTATCTATCTATCTATCTATATCCTATCTAACTATTTTTTCTGTCTGTCTGTCTGTCTGAGTAGCTGTTAATATATCTTTTAAACACCATAAATTAAAGTGTGCAGCTCACAAATGTCTTCTAAAGACGTAGTTTTTGAGTCATAGACACCATACATACAATCTCAACCACACACACACACACACACACACACACACACACACACACACACACACACACACACACACACACACACACCTCCAGAAATAAAAATCAATAATGTGTCTCAGGTAAGGCCGTAACAGTGAGAGACACGGAAGAGAATCACAATAAACCCATGATTAGTTTCACCTGTGGATAAATTGGATAATAATGTGTAAAATAACAGGGCGGGGAGGAGGAGGAGGAGGGAGAGTGAGGGAGAGAGAAAGGAAATGAGGAGAGAGAAAGAGAGTGAGGAGAGAAAGAAGTGAGGAGGAAAAAAAAGAGTGAGGGAAGGAGAAGGAGAGAAGGAGTGAGGGAAGAGTGGGGAAGGGGGGAGGGAGGGCAGGAAGGAGGAAGGAAGAAGGAGAGTGAGAGGGAGAGGAACGAGAGAAAATGAAAGGAGAAAGTGAGAAAAGGAGAAAGGGGAAGATAGAGACAGGGGATAAGAATAGGAGAGAAGTAAGAGGGGGGCTAAAGGGGAGGAGGAGGGAGAGAAGGGGATAATGAGGAGAAAGGTGGAGGTACCATCCCCCTTCCTTCCTCCTCACTTCCTTATTCCTCTTTTCTCTCCTTCCCCCAAACCCCCCTGTCTCTCTTCCCCACCCTCCTCCTTCCTTCACCCCTCCCACCCCTCCCTCTCACCCCCCCATTCCTCACTTTCTCTCTCCTCCTGTCTCCTTTCCACCCTCTTCCCTTCATCCCTTCCCTGTTCCTTCTTTCTCTTGTATGCCCTCCTCCTTCTCCTGACCTTCCCCCTTAAGGTATCACGGTTTTCCTCTCCTTGTGTGACCAGACATATTTTAGTCACATTAATGTACAGATGCACTCGTGTGTCCTTACTGGGCCGTGGATGAGACATGATGCTATTATGATTTATTTTAGATGAATTAAATTTGAGTTGGGTAGTGTGTGTGTGTGTGTGTGTGCGTGTGTGTGTGTGTCTGTCTGTCTGTCTCAGGGGAGTGTTGGAATAAATGCCAAGAAAGACAGGGGTTACTACACACACACCACACACCTACCTACACACACACACACACACACACACACACACACACACACACACACACAAGCACACACACACACGCAAAGCCCAACCCCAACCTTCCACGTTGAGTTGCAGGGCCCCGTGGCACTGGGGCCTACCAGGACTGGGGGGGTGGAGAGAGGAAAGAAGACACTGAGCCGAACCCCTACACCAATCCTGCATTTTCTCCCGGAGTAAGCTGGGTACATGTTGTCCCGGGTGAGCTGAGTACATTTGTCCCAAGGGTGAGCTAGGTACATTTTTGTCCCAGGTGAGCTGAGTACATTTGTCCCCAGATGAGCTGAGTACATTTCTCCCAGGTGAGGCTGGTACATTTCTCCCGGGTGAGCTGAGTACGCTGTCCCGGAGTGAGCTGAGTACATCTATGGGTTCAATCTCTCAGCTTTAAACTAAAAAAAAATTGTAAATCTAACCTAACCAGAACTGAGGGAGAGTAACGCCGTATTTCACCTCTCAGAAATATGTTTCATTTATTATAACTGAGTCTCGATGGCGATAGGTCAAGGTTAAAATGGACGGCAGTGTTAATGGACCCCCTTGTATTATCTTTATCTCGTGTATTTGAGACACCATTATTTCCCTTAACACTGGGTAGATTAGGTTAGGTTGGAATTAAGTGAAACACATTAGAACTTGAGGTCTTTGGGACTGGGGACTACACAAGGAAAAGACCTTGCAGTGAACAGGGCATATAAAAGACTACACCCTATTAGATTAAGACATAGTAGACTAAACCCTATTAGGTGAGGAGATCTATTACACCCTATTCAGTCAGGGGCCAGTGCAACAACCCCCAGTGCCGCCCCAGTGGGTTAAGAGCCTATTAACATAACCTCCCCCATCCCCAAATTAGGTCAAGGGTTAATTAATTTGCCCGTGCAAATTCTGACCTGACAAGCTAGGTCCTCCGGCCATCTGATCCCGAAGGTGGTGAAGTGTAGTTCAGCAGTGGCCACGGGTGTATCACGCCTAATGAATACTACAGAGTGTCAGTCAGCTGGTTACTGTAAAACAAACCATTCGTCTACACACACACACACACACACACACACACACACACACACACACACACACACACACACACACACATGGTGGGGCAGCTACTCTCTTGTACTAGTATCATCTCGAATAATTAGAAGGTGAGAGAGAGAGATAGATTACCTGTCAACGCCTCTTTGGCCACATGACAGGTAACATTATTTTAATTAATATGTCATTTAACACTGACTCACATTTTTATCCCAAATATTATTTGTTACAGTTGGTTAGGTTAAGTTAGCTAATAATAATAATAATAATAATAATAATAATAATAATAATAATAATAATAATAATAATAATAATAATAATAATAATAATAATAATAATAATAATAATAATAATAATAATAACAATAAAACGGTACAAGCAATAAGAAAAACAACACTAATCACAACATCAAGAAAACAATAACAACTATAAAACAACAATAACAACAACAATAACAAACAACAATAATAACCAAGAAACACCACTGCACCTACAACAGATCAACATTCACCCGTTTAGGTTGTTTCACCTTTGAGCCTCACCTAAAATCCCAAAAGGGCAGCAAAGATAGACCAAATTGTGGAAGGTAATTTGGGAGGTGTTAGGTCAAGGTTCACGTCTGCCAAGTTCAGATTAATCGTCGCACAAGATGAAGGACTGACGATTAATTGTTCATAATTTACCAAGAAGAAAAGATAACGACAACAACAACGGCAACCTTAACAACAACAACAACAACGTGGATGGAGGTCGTGGGCAGGGGGAGTGGAGGGTCGTGGGCGGAGGATGGAGGTCGTGAGCGCAGAGATGGAGGTCGTGGGCAGGGATGGAGGTCGTGGGCGGGGGATGGAGGGTCGTGGGCGGGGATGGAGGGTCGTGGGCGGGGATGGAGGTCGTGGGCGGGGATGGAGGGTCGTGGGCGAGGATGGAGGTCGTGGGCGGGGGGTGGAGGTCGTGGGCGGGATGGAGGTTCGTGGGCGGGGATGGAGGTTCGTGGGCGGCCGGGGATGGAGGTCGTGGACAGGATGGAGGTTCGTGGGCGGGGATATTAGAGGTCGTGGGCGGGGATGGAGGTCGTGGGCAGGATGGGGCCGTGGGCGGGGGATGGAGGGTCGTGAGCAGGGGGATGGAGGTTCAGTGGGCGGGGGTGAGGGGGTCGTGGGCGGGGGATGGTGGTTCGTGGACCCGGGGGATGGAGGGTCGTGGGCGGCAGGGGATGGAGGTTCGTGGGCGGGGGATGGAGGGTCGTGGGCAGGGATGGAGGGTCGTGGGCGGGGATGGAGGTCGTGGGCGGGATGGAGGTCCGTGGGCGGGGATGGAGGTCGTGGGCGGGGATGGAGGTCGTGGGCCCCCGGGGATGGAGGGTCGTGGGCGGGGATGGAGGGTCGTGGGCGGGATGGAGACTAAATGGGCGGGGATGGAGGGTCGTGGGCGGGATGGAGGGTCGTGGGTGGGGATGGAGGGTCGTGGGCGGGGATGGTGGGGATGGTGGTTCGTGGACGGGGATGGAGGTCGTGGGCGGGGATGGAGGTTCGTGGGCGGGGATGGTCGTGGGCAGGGGATGGAGGGTTGTGGGCGGGATGGAGGTTCGTGGGCGGGGATGGAGGTTCGTGGGCCTTTGGGGATGGAGGGTCGTGGGTGGGGATGGAGGGTCGTGGGCAGGGGATGGAGGTCGTATTGGGCGGGGATGGGGTCGTGGGCAGGGACGCTTTTGCCTTCCTTGATATTCCCTTGTATTCATCTGGTCGACCACCCACACCACCAGACAGACGCAGATAGACGGAACACGCAGATAGACAATTGAACAGACAGAAACAGACTAACAGAAAAGCAGAAACAAGAAACAGGCCTAATAGAAAAACAGACACAAACAAACAGGAGAGACTTACGAAAAACAAAGAAACTAACAGAAAACAGATAAAACAGACAGGGAAAAGAGACAAACAAGAAAAACTAGAACAGACAGACAGACGGACGCCAATTATGCACCTGTACCGTCAATTTCAACAAAGTTCATAATCCGATTGCTAAGAATACGAAAGTTCCTATCTGTAACCCGTGATATAATTACTGTACCTGTAACTCATATTTAAACTGTACCTATATTTAAAAACCTTGACTAATAATATCCTTTATCACTGTATTGTACTTATAATACTGCCAACAACACTTTACCTTTATACCAACCTTATAATGTAACTAACACTTTACATATATCAACATATATAATACTTTCACACTAACACTTTACACTTTAATCTACAGCAATTACTTTCCAAAGCTTGATATAAACACATATTCTTTTCTTTACACAAAATGGTCCGAAAAGAAAAGGAAATAAAGAATGAAAGAAAGAAAATGAATAAAAAGGAAAATAAAGAAAAGAAAGAAAAAGAAAGAAGAAAAGTGAATAAATAAATAATGAAAAGAAAGAAAAAGAAATCCCTGTTGTTTCGTAGTCTTGTTATTGAGTTTCCCTCCCTCGTCTCCCATTTTCATCTGCATTTATATATAACAATCATTCTACATTTTTCCATTCATTCTTTCATTCATTTCTTTGTTCTTTTCATTTTTTTTTGCTATTCGACTTTTACTTTTTGTTTCCTTTTGCATTTTTTAGTTTTTGGTATTCGTATATTTTGTTGTTTTATACTGTTTCATCATTCATCTGTTTCATCACGATTCATCATTCACCGTTCCATTATTCACCTGTTTTATCACTTTTTTAGCAGGGTGCGTAGGAGAAAAAAATAAGAACAGAAAGAAATTAAAAATATAATCTATACCGAAGATGCCAAATCCACCGAACATGGCCCGTTAAAGTACCTGTATAAAGAGAGTGAAGCAACATTGCGGCGAGGAAAGATTGTCGACTAAAGGAGGATTAATAAGACGAAATGCCTTGATTCACTATCTAACAGATGGACAGAAGAAGAGCCACCCCAGATATGAGAGCAGTACTCCAAGTTAGGACGAATGAATCCTTATATACTTGGACAACTGCTCCAGGGTGAAGTAGCTGCGGCATCTGTACAGCATTCCCAACTCGGGAGGCGGCTTTAGATTATACTAAGGATGATTTCCAGGACATATTGGAGAAATGGTGAGGCCTAGCATCATTTCAGAATTTGGCAGAATGATAGCGTCCTGAAATGTGATTGATGAAACCATCTAATTTAGAAAGTGTAATTGGTAAATACTTAAGTTTTATTATGAATTTAACCAAGTTTGTACCTCCCATTCAGAGATGCTGCACAGATCCGCATTGATAGAAGTAATGATATCAGCTCAGAAACAGATCTGGTTGAGTTAGGAGGAAGAGGGAAAATGTTGGTAGAATCATCAGTGTAGAATGGAAGAAATTAGTTGTAGTGTGAAGTAAACCATTCTTCTGTTTCATCACGTTTCAGCTTCGTCACGTTTCATCATTCTTCTGTTTCATCACCTTCATCATTCATTTGTTTCATCACGTTTCGTCTCCATATTTATCAATACAAAAGGAAAATGTTGTCAATGGAAAGATAAGAGGTTTGTGAGTTTGAGAGGGAAAGAGGAGGGAGTGTGTTGTGTGTGTGTGTCAGAGGTGAGAGGATGTGTGTATCAGGGTGAGGATGTGTGTGTGTCAGAGGTGAGAGGGATGTGTGTGTCAGGGGCGAGGGGATGTGTGTGTGTGTGTGTCAGAGGTGAGAGGGGTGTGTGTATCAGAGGTGAGAGGGATGTGTGTGGGAGAGGTGAAAGGGAGAATAGAAGTGTCTTACCTTTCACATCTTTCATAAGGTTTCTCAGTGTCCTCCTCACGGTGTTAAGGATCCTGGACAGTTCTATTTGATCCAAAGCTCCCAGTGGGCCCTTTCTAATAGGCCAGTTGTATAATGACCCCAACCTAAATGAACCTCAAGTCTTAATAGACCTCAATCTTTAATAGCCTCTTCCTTAATAGACCCCGGATAAAATAGGCCTCAACGTAACATTAAGACTGAGATTCCCACCTATTTCGAATGGGGGTCTATTATGGCAGGGGACTATTTAAGTTCGGGATATCTAGGTCTGGGGTCTATTAGGACTAAGGTCTAATGGGCCCCACATGACCTCCAACCAATCAGTGGTCAGAACGTCGCTTTCTGTTTATTCAACCAATCAAAGACCAGAGTGTCTCTACACCCACCATGCATTGTATCGTATTTGTTTATGTAATGTTCTTCAGCCAATCAGCAAGCAGAGTTTCATCACCAAGCCAATCAACAACCAAAGCTTCGCCATTCAACCAATCAGTTACCAGATCTTCGTCACCTAACCAATCAACAGCCAAAACTCCCCCACTTAACCAATCAGTAACCAGGTCTCCGTCACCTAACCAATCATTCACCAGCTCAATGAATGCCGTTCCTGACTGACTGACTAACTGACAGAGAAAACAAATCAAATCCCTTCGTCCCTGGCCCGTGTACGCCGCAGACTCCTCCCACAGCACCCCGAGGCACCCAGTACTCCTCCCCACCGCACCCCAGGCAGTACTCCTCCCCACCGCACCCAGGCACAGTACCCTCCCCACCACCCCGGGCACCCAGTACTCCTCCCACCACCCAGGCCCAGTACTCCTCCCACCGCACCCCAGGCACCCAGTCCTCCTCCCACCGCACCCCAGGCACCCAGTCCTCCCCCCAGCAGACTCCTCCCACGCCAGGCACCCAGTACTCCTCCCCGCCCCAGGCACCAGTACTCCTCCCCACCCAGGCACCAGTCTCTCCCACCACAGCCCAGTACTCCTCCCCGCACCCAGGCACCAGTACTCCTCCCACCGCACCCCAGGCACCAGTACTCCTCCCCGCACAGACTCCTCCCTAACCCAGACTAATTCTTCGTCATTCTTATCTAAATTATTTCTCTCTCTTTTACGTGTTGGAATTCTATCATTTTTTCACAGGTAAAGTTTTAGCAATAATTAAAATCGAGCTGAGAGAGAGGGAGAGAGAGGTGTGTGTGTGAGTGGGGAGAGAGAGAGAGAGAGTAGAAAGGTGTGTGAGTGGGAAGAGAGAGAGGTGTGTGAGAGTGTAAAGTAAATCGTGTGAGAGTGGGGAACTGAAGTGTTTGAGAGGATGAAGAAAGAAAAGTACGAGAGTGACAAAGAGAAAAGTAAAGCGAGAGCGTAAAGAAGTCTCCGTGTTGGTGGAGAGAGAGAGAGATAAGAAACACACTCCCTATGACCATGGATACACACTAATCGATCCAATATATTTAACAACAAGTTTCTCAGAGCTAACAACAACAACTAGTAGATAAGATACAAAAGCCTACCGTGTTTATTCTTTTCCCACCACTCATAAAGGAAGCCTCACCCACCCCCACCCACCCACCCACCCACCCACTCACCCACCCCTATAGACTCTGATAAAGGCTCCCAAGATGAGGGTTCGAACGCGTGTGCTGTGAATCCTTTGTTATTTTGTGGTATAATGGAAGCCCATGGGTGGTATTTGTGTAATGTGAAAATAACAATAGTGAAGATGATGGCATTGACAAGAAGAAGAAGAAGAAGAAGATAAAAATGGAGGAAACTGCAGCGGGCCTCTTGGTCCATACTGGGCAGTCCCGTTTACACCCAACCCCTATCACTCATATATCCATCCAACCTATGTTTAAAGCTATCCAGCGTATTCGAGTAACAACAACATCAACAACAAAAAGAACAATAATAATAACAAACTAGTATTAATAATAACAATAACAACAATAACAAAACAAGAACAAACAGAACAATAATAACATCACCAACATTAATAATAACAATAACAACAATAAATAAAAATAACAATAATAACAACGATAACAAAACAACAAAAATAACAAATAAAATTATAATAACACCAACATTAATAACAACAATAACAGTAGTGGTCAATCTTAACTACCAAGAACACCACACACACACACACACACTCTCACAGAACCCTCCTAAATCTCACCCCAAGATACTTATTAATTCCCTGGTGACACAAAGCCTCTCTCTCTCTCTCTTCATCCCCGCTGCTACACTCTCAGAGATTCTTACGTATTTTTAGTCCATTGTGAGACATGGTGAGTAAATATGGCGACTAGAATGCACTGGGACTCTACCTTACAATGTGTGGGGTTTTTTTTCCAGACAGAGGGAAGAAATTCGCTGGGTTTTTTTTCGATATATTTCAGAATTTTTGAGAATATATCAAATTCGATCACTTTAAGCAACGGAAGAAATATGGTTGAGGATAATGACGACTATAATGGGCAGAGACTAGACTGAAATAATGATGAAGGATAATAATAATAACATTGAGATATACGTAACACCCAACTGAAACGGAAAATACGACTGAAAATGTGAACTAAAATCTACTAAAACTCGACTGAAACGGAAAATACGACTGAAAATGTGAACTAAAATCTACTAAAACTCGACTGAAACGGAAAATACGACTAAAAATATGAACTAAAATCTACTAAAACTCGACTGAAACGAAAAATACGACTGAAAATATGAACTAAAATCTATTAAAACTCGACTGAAACGGAAAATACGACTGAAAATAACTAAAATACCGAGACTCGACTGAAACCAAAAATACGACTGAAAATACACAGAAACTCAACCGTAAGAGACACGTCCAAATTTCCATTTAACAGGAAGGGGAAAAGGAAAACACAGTGAATATTTGAAAGACCCGTCATAGCACCTCAGGGTCCCTCTCCATAACAAAACAAGCG